AAGATAATCAAGGCCTAGTTTATCAATACAAATTTGAAATTTTCCTTAAGAATGACTGAAATCAATTAATACACATCTCCACTGTTGAGCTCAGCATTGCTTCCAGCAATGCAGGATTTTCCTTTTGAGGTTCCAACTTCTTGAACAAGTTCAGAAAGCCCAGCCTCTGATCTGTCAGCTATGGAAGTTGAAACAGGGTCTGATGAAAAAAAGATTTTGCTGTGTAGAGAATTAGAGCTTTCATGCTTCGATATTGTCTCCTCAGTATGTGATTCGAGTTGGTCATTCAGAACTAAAGACTTCGATATTGTCTTTGATATTGTCACATCAGTCCTGTAGTAATATATACATATTCTTATTAGTCATTCTAACCATAGCACGTAGATGGAAATATTTGAGAAAGCTTGCTAAAATATAAAGTAGAAGGAACATACAAATATTACAATCAACTTATTATACTTTGGAAGATGCCTATTACAGAATATATATACCTTGTTGCAATTCTTTTGTGATCATCTACCAGAAGACAGGATTTATGATCAAACAAGGAAATAAAGAAGGTGAGAGCTATATCAATTCCGAAGAAACCATTCACTATGTTATTCACATAAGAAAGTGAATTTGGTAAGAAAGTCAGTTCAAATGAGCATATCCAGGTTGAATAGATTACTAATATGATTAAAAACATCTTTCAGGCTCTGAGAAGAAGACAACAGAAGAGTAGAATGAACAATCTCTTCTTTATATTTTACCATATAGAAGTGGAGGTTTGATTTACCTGTATCGTGGATCATAAGGCGAAATTATATACTTCCTGAGCTTGGTATACTGATTTAAGCTTGCTCCCAAGGGTGGCATTATATCAGTAGAGAAGGTTATGGCAATCATTACTTGCACAACTAGTAATTGATGTATTGAAGAAGTCATATTTATGGGTTTAATTCCTCATAGCAAGGGCAACCGCTTTGAAGTATAAAGTTAATGATGAATAAGCTATTTGGTGACACCTAATTTATAAGTTTCTTAAATAATTTAGTCATTTCTTCAGCACCAGTAGGCACATCGTGAATCTGTTTCGCATACATTACACAAACTATAATAATTAAAATTTATTATACTTCATTACATATAAAGAAGCCTAAGTTGCCCTTTAACTCAACTCGTCTAAGCTCCTCCCTCAAATATATTTAGAGAAATTTACATACATACCACAATTTTTATGTTTCATAAGAAAAAAAAACATAGCAAAAGTAACAAAGACAGTGGAAACAAACATTCTTTACATAACATCACAGATAAAATAATCAAAATTCTGAAGAATACAAAATATTGTTTGGGAGCCCAAAACTATGACAAATTCCATTACAATTCAACGAAAAATTAAGTTTAAAGAACTAGAAAATTAAATTTAAATTACCAAGTTGTGGAAAATTCAATGCCAGCAAATTGATATACGTGGAGAAGAAGAAGGCTTGGATATCAAAACATCCATCTCATCTACTTGGGACAAACCTTTATGTCAGTACCATTAATAAATCAGTCACAACTTTGTGAGAATCCTACCCACCAAACTTTTAACCGCCACAAAGAAAAATCAACGCTAGTTAAGAATCAAAATTCCTAGAATAGAATAATAATAGAAAAACCTCATCTTCTTACCGGGATCCAAATGCATAAGAAATCCAAATCAACTAAAGCATGACATTCTTGAAATGCATCTGCCACAAACCTAAAATCCTGTATGAAAACGGTCCCTATTTCTATGCTCAACTCTTCGCGGCCTTCGTAAACTTCAGATCAGCCACAATATACATTCCCCGTAACTCTGTTGACGAACAACCACAAGGAGTGCGATGGGAAAATAATGAGGCAAAAATTGGAACAAAGAGCTACAACAACAGCAAAATACAAAGAAAGAATTGGGAGGGGAGATACCGATCAGGAGCGGCAGTTTCGATCGGGACTCCACACCCGAGCAACGGTGGAAGTGGAAGCAAGGCGGAGGAGCAGCGGGAGGCTTCGCGACAATCTCGGGAGCAGCGGTTTCAGGATCGCCAGAGGCTTCGCTAGGGCAGAAGACTTTCACACGGTTTCGAGATCTCTAGAGGCTATGGAGGCTTCGCAAGACACTGTGGGAGGGGAGCGGGGCAACGAAGGAATTATCAATCGAGAACGCGGGGCCGCAGGGTCGATCTCGCGACCAGCGTTCCCCCTACTTTAGCGGCGAGCGGCCGCGACGCTGCAGAAAAGCGTAAAAAAAAGAGTGGCTTCGCGGTTTGGGGCCGCGCTGCTCGAACTAAGCGGTCCCAAGCGGAGTCTATGTTTTGAAGCTGCTTTCTTGCTGCCTTTTGGAAATTTTTGTGATAGAAAACTGTTTTTTTCAATATGAACTGTTGAAGCATGGTGATTGCCAGAAAATTGCATTCTGACTTTTTAAAAATAAAATTAATTTGTAATAGCCAAAGTAACATTTTGAAAAATAGTTTCTTCTGTAGCAGCATTTGCTTCTTCAAGCAACTGTAGCTGCCCCAAACAGACCCGAAGTCTCATCTTTCCTAGATTTAAGCAAAGAAGATACAACATAAATATTCTTGCTTTTCTCAATATGCCATTCCTTAAATAATTCTTTAATTTGCCTCTTATGTTCACCATATTCGGTCGGGTTCATTCTATAAAAAAATTTATTTGGTAATAATAATTCAGGAATTAAATCATATTGCATATCCCTTAATGGTGGAATTTATTAGGATGCTTTTCATGACATATATTTTCAAAATCAGCCAATAGTTGACTAACATCTATTGGTAGGATTCCTAGTTGGCTGGTAGACCAATGCCCCAGTTTCCAATTCGTGGGATTGCCATGTTAGCTGCAAGCTATACTCGTTCCCTTATTGTCATAGGAATATCTATATAAACATTGCTAATAGTTTTGTGTATTCTTCGCAATTAATAATTGTCAAGAAATCATTATAATTTGTAGCTTTTCACTTAGGAATTATGTAGTATGGCTGGTAATTCAATCATAGAAATATGGATGTTAAGGTTCTTACTGAATCATAAGAATTCAACCCATATCGTTTTATTTAAGATATCAGAGCCTTGAGAAAATAATTTGTCGTTTTCCTCCTTTAGATTTCCTTCCAAATTCTTTCGTAGTAGCTTCCCATATTACCATTATTCAATCGCAGCAGGCACAAGTAAACATTCAGTTGCAGCAAGTGCACCCAACCTCCAGTCAGCGGGCATAACCAATTAGCTAGGCTTGGTAATAGGCATAGCCCCCACCTCCTTGTTTGTCTCCATTTTCTGTTGCAGCCCCCATCACATAACCTTTCTCTTGTAGCAGGCAAACAGCCCATCCCCGGCAATAGGCGAGCAGTGGATAAGCAATAGCTAGCCCATCGACAGCAAGAGAAGAGAAAAAAGGAAAAAAATAAACCTAGGAAGAATGTCTTTTTCATCCGAAGTTTTGGATGGGTCAAATGGGCATGAAATAAATTAAAACTGCTAATCCTTAATGAGTGATTAAAAAAAACGTTAACTTTAATTCAGATTAAATGGGGGGGGGGGGGGGGGGGGGTTTGTGGGCACGTCTCAAAAAGACAGGGGGGGAATTTTGAGCACGTTTCTCAAAAGAACAAGAAAGTTAGGCCATCTTATTTTGAGAGAAAATGATTTCAATTTTATGCTTCTGACATAGAAGTTCCTTCAATTGCGTCATGGCTATGGAATTTCATGACATAAAAAATCAACAGAACCTGCATTTTCTAACCTAACCGAAAATGTTTGGAAAAAATTGAAAAAAATATACTCAAAGGTTTATAACAGTCTTTTTCTATAAAATTATCTCTATAATTCATGTTATCTAGCATGGTACTTCACAATTACTGAGTATTAAAAAAAAAGAAATTATGGCCTGAACTCAACCACTCTAATGCATTAAAATGAGGTGCAATGAAGAAACTCTAAAATTCAGATATTTGTGGAAAGAGAAAATTATGAATTTTTAACCAAATTAAATGTTTAGTATGAAAAAAAAGATGTTTCTAAATACTTGGAAAAGACTATCTTCTAAGACTAAATGATGTGTTTGTACCATTGAAGTGAAGAAAAGAGGCGAGATGCTATTCTAGAAATGCTATCAATTGATTATTTCCCATGCATTGTATAGCTGCAGGATTGGGTAATAGAAGCAGAATGTATGCCTTCAACTATTCTAACACGGTAGTATATGTAAAAAACCTATGTTAATAATTGATGAATTAAAAGAAAGCCTGGAGGTTATGTGATGATCTAACTCAATCATATTTACCTACGCTAAAGCTTTTACCTTTGAAATCATCATTTGTTGAGATCCTCCACTTAACTTTATTATGAGATTAACACTTTGATCGTCAACCTTTAAGTGGCAAATGGGAGTGAATATTTAAGTCATCTTGATCATATATATAATTTCTTCTAAATGATGAAACTATTAGCTTGACATAAAATTTAGTATCATCAAATTAAATAATGAGATACATATAAGTTCGTACTTAATAACCTTTTCTTATATGATGATGCCAAAAAAATGTTGGTGGGAAGAGAGAAAAATTAATTTGTAGATTCTTGTCCATCTTACTAGATGTGCACATACACTGTGTGTGTGGTTATTTAGTTAGGTAGTTTCCAGAAGATCGACTACTTCATTCATGTGGCATGCATTCTCTATTATTTGCTGGATGTGTGGTTATTTAGTTAGGTGGTTTCCAGAAGATCGACTACTTCATTCATGTGGCATGCATTTTCTATTTTTTGCTGGAAAGACTTTGATTTATGAGATGGATCGTTTTAATGATGTTTTTCTTACTGTAATTTTCTTATGCTATTAATTGTGTATTTATATGAGTGCATTCATCATGCTACAATTTTGTCATGTTAGCAAATGCTATGTTGTCGTTGTTTCACTTGGAGACATATTCTGCATCATATCATGTTTTAACTCAAATTCATCATTAGACTTGTGAAAAGCAGGTTAAAGTTATTTCCAGAAAACCAAAGCCACCGATAAGAGAGATAACGGGTGTAGTGGAAGAACCAAAAATTGGTATGTTATTTGCAAATGAAGACAGGGCATATGAGTTTTATGTTAGATATGCTGGAAATGTTGGTTTCTGTGTTCGAAAGGGATGGTGGGATAAAACTGCTAGGAGTGTTACACGGTTAAGGGTTTATGTGTGCTCCAAAGAAGGTTTTCGCCCTAAAAGTTTTTCAAATGAGATGAAAAAAGCAAGACCAGAGACTAGAACAGGATGTCTTGCTCGTATGGCAATTGAACTTATGTCTAATGGTAAATACAGCGTAAGTGAATTTGTGTCTGAGCATAACCATGAATTAGCAGCTCCATTAGATCTTCAATTATTCAAGTCCCATAAGTTGTCAAGTAAAATGCCGTTTGGTAATCATCATAGAAACAAGGTGATACCTGCTGAGTACAAAAATTACTTGAGGTCAAAGCGAGTTAAGAGTATGCAGATGGGGGATGCGGTTCTCTTGCTAGAATACTTGCATAGAATGAAGAGCGAAAATCCATCTTTTTTCTATGCCATACAAGTTGATGAAGATGATCAGTTGACAAATATCTTCTGGGCAGATGCAAATTCGATTATGGACTATGAATACTTCGGTGATGTTGTATGTTTTAACACAACCTATAAAGACGATGACAGTGGAAGACCATTTGTTCAGTTTTCTGGTGTTAATCATCATAAGCAAACAGTTACATTTGGTGTTGCGCTAATATACGCTGAAACTGTGGAATCCTTCAAGTGGTTATTTGAAACTTTCAAGGCTGTTATGGGTGGTAGGCAGCCTAAGACAATTTTGACCGGACAAAGCTCTGCCATGAGTGATGCCATAGCTGTTGTATGGCCTCACACAGTTCATCACTATTGTATATGGCACATATATCAAAGTGCTGCTAGGAACTTAACTCAGCTCTTCAAAGATTCAGAAACTTTTTTACTTGACTTCAACCAGTGCATTTTTGAGCTCCACGAGGAGGAAGATTTCCTAACTGCATGGACATCGCTCTTAGAAAGATACGACTTGAAAGATAATGAATGGCTAGCTAAGTTATATGGAGAGCGGAGGAAATGGGCTTTACCTTATGGCCAAGAAACTTTTTATGCTGACATCTTTAACACACTTCGTAGGGAGGGCTTAAATAATGTATTAAAAGAATATTTAAGTCCACAGATAGATCTCTTACAATTTCTCAGGAAGTATGAAGAGTTTGTGAAGGAACAGAGATACACAGAACAAGAAACTGATTATCTTACCAGTCAAGTCACATCTAGAACCCCTACGCTGAGATTCCAGTGGCAAGCTGCAAATGTATACACACCTGCAGCCTTTGAGATGTTTAAAGTGGAATTTGAGCTTATCCCAAATTGTCTTGTTTACAGTTGTGGTGATGTGGGAACCATATCAGAATATGAGGTGGCAGTTAAGGATAAACCTAAGCCGTACTTTGTTAGGTTTGATACATCCGATGGTTCAGTTTTTTGTAGCTGCAGGAAGTTCGAGTTTGTTGGGATTCAGTGTTGCCATGTGTTGAGGGTGCTCGATTGCAGGAATGTTAAAGAGCTTGCACCTCAATACTTTTTGAAGCGGTGGAGCAAGGATGTAAAATCTGGGCTCATTAGGGAGGATGAGTGGTTGTCACTCCAGGATGACCCCAATTCGTCTCTACAAAAGAGGTACAGCTCCTTGTGCCGTATATTGTATAAAATTGCAGCAAGGGCTGTTGAAAATGTTCAAGCGTATGCATTTATGGAAAACCAGTTCGATCAGATTTTGGAACAGGTTGAGCAAATACTACAAACGAAACTTCTTGAGAAAACCTCCATGAACATTCTTTCAAAAGGTCAATTACAGATTCCGACACAAGTTGAAGGCATAGATAATGAGAACAATGGTGAATCTAGGAGGTTAAGTGGGAAAAAGAAAAAGGATGCCACAGCCCATCGTAGGCAGCAAGGTAGCATGGAGATGAGTAAACAGTACAAGGGACTTAAAGGTTTGCCAAATAATGAAAATATTTCAGGCATGGATTCTAAAATTAACCTACTTATGTCGCTTTCTTTTTAATTTACAGGAAAATCTGATGCTGTAAACGTTGCAATGGATGCTGGTGATCCACTGATGGCATCTAATGAGATCCCTTTCCAGGGTAGGAATTCTTCTACTCAGTTTTTTCATCCAAGCCAATCATTCCAGGTATTTCTTCTAAAATACAAAGTGATAAATATAAAATGAGCTTCATTCTTCTGTGATGATCATTTTTGTGAATGCTGCAGGGGCCATATATTCCTGGCCATCAATTCGGAATTGGTTCCTTTCAAGGTTTTCATGGAACTCCTCAGTTTACTCAGGTAATTGCTAAAAAAACTTTCATAAGCATATCTATTTCAATTTTCTAGCTAAACTCATGCCCAAACACATGCAGGAATTTTCAGCTCCTGTGTTGCAACAGCAGTCTTTCCCGGGAGAAGCTAATTTAGGCCAGGTATCCTCTTTGTTTGTGAGTATCATAAGTTGATTCAATGTCAAATGATGATTAAAGTTTTTCATTCATAATTGATATGCTTGGTATGGCATTTCATGATATAATGCTCTTTTTTTGAAGCCAGAGAAGATTTATTGTATGACTCCGTTACATTATATAATACATATTTTCATTTCATACTTTAGTTAATGCATTGCTTTTTCTTGAATATGAATGTGTTCTGTGCATGACAAATCGGTATTTCAGGCTTCTGAGATGCACGCTCTTCAATTTGTTTCAAGCAACACCCAGCTGGGACCCCAGGGGGGTGACCAAGGCCACTATAGCATTCCAGTTTGGGATTTTTTGTGAGAGTTCTTTTTGAAGGAAATACTTTTTCATCCCAGCATGCTTATAGCTCGCGCCATCATTAAGGTGAAGCAGTGATGGTTGGTTTCCTTTTTAGCTTTTCAGTTATTTCCACTGTTCTCTTTTTTTGCCTGATTTCTCTCTTTTTTTGCCTGATTTCTCCACCAATAGACGTTCGTGTCTGCTTCAAATGGTTGTTTTATGCAGGGTACTGAAATCAGCTGAGAATGCCTTTTTTATTTCACATTTTCAGGTGTTCCTTGGCTAAAATTTTATGCTAATGGAAAGAATTGTAAGCTGCAGATTAGGAATATATTTGTCCCCTAGCTCTAGTGGTGCCGCCAGAAGTTTTGTGCAGGTAATGACTTCGAATGTGAATTACAATGTGATTTTGAGAGGAATATTTGTAGTGGATATAAGTTTGCATGTATCTCTTTATTCTAGCAATCCGTGACTAATGTACAGATGTATGTTTACACCCTAAAAAATTCTCAGGCTTTGTTTAAATCTGCAATTATCCCGAATGATGTGTATGGAGTTTGTTGACGGTTACTTAGTAAATCATTCTGCATGTATACTTTTATTCATGTTCACATATCGCCCATTTGATAGGAGCTATACTATTAAGCTGTGTACAATATGGGCATGAATTATTTAAGTTTTAATAAGTAGGATGAGCTTAAAGTAACATGGATACAATAAATTTTATGTTTTTTGAATTTTTCTTACACATTGATGCATTACCTTTTGCTAATAATATTCTCATATTGCATGCACATGCTTAGCTATTCATAAGATTCTTACCTCTCTAACTCCATCTTCGATATATCTAAAAAATGAAAATGCATATCTCGTTTTACAAGAGATTGTTAATATCACCATCTTCGATATATCTAAAAAATGAAAATTCCGGTTTTCAAAGATGCATATCTCGTTTTACAAGAGATTGTTAATATCATGCATTTTGCACCAAATGTACCAACCGATACATTTTGTTTTGTATTCTGATGTATTCAATTATTAATATGCTCTTAAATTTGTTTAAACGGCTTATGCCATTTTGTATTCTGATTTATTGGAATATATTTCCATCTTATGTCCATCAAAAGCGGGCATGTCTTTCAAGATTGGTAAGAGCTAAGCGGTTGGAAGAGTGCTCTTCTAAGGGAACGTTCTATCGTGGCGGTATGATTTCGTTGCTTGAAAGCATGCCTTGAAACCGGTGAACTTTTTTTGGATGCATTATTTAGATTAGAGTTAGAAGCCAACCTTAATTATACAAATTCTAAAAAGATTTTTTAAAATTTAATGGTTTTACTTTTACATACGAATAAGTGAAAAACAAAGTTATTATTTTTTAATATTTTGTGAAGACTTAGCCAATTTTATTTTGCGGACGGTACTCACCTTTTGCATGAGAGCAATGTTTGTAGTGTTTATTGTACAGGGAGTGACCTGAAAATAAGCAAATACAATTTATTATTGCTGAAATCCAAAAGGAAACAACAGGGATTCATAAAACAAGAAATAAAATGACCCAAATATAAACGGACCCCAGGGTGAGGTTAAATGTGATGAACTCCAGTTGGATGGCAGGTGTGGGGTTGTTTGGTGAGGCTATGGTAGCAAGGAGGCGGTGAGCATAGAGGTTATGGTAGTAGGTTAAGTGTGGAGGATGAGGGGAGGGAGCAGGGTAGGTGCTGGAAGGCGTTGTAGAGTTAGGCGGCAGTTGTGAAGGAGAGGACGAGGGGTGGGAGCAGGGTAGGTGCTGGAAGGCCTTGGCGGTAGCGGGGAAGGCGTTGTAGAGTTAGGCGGCAGTTGTGAAGGAGCAGGAAAGCTGGGCAGCATCAGAGGAGGTGTAGGAAAGGCATGAGGGCAGCAAGGAAGACATAAGATGGATTTATTGGTGGTAAGGAAGAAGCATGAAGACTCCACGATAGCAGAGGAGCAGGAAGACCTGGCAACAGCGAGGAAGGATGATTATGACACGAGATTAACGTGATAACCACTAACTAAGAGTAGAATACAGCCGGTGCACCACCTGTCCTCAAATACAACCCTGAGAAAGGAGGAGAAGTGTACAATAGGAATGCGTCTACGCGAATCTCGAGGAGGTGATTGGAGACATAAAAAACACAAATTATTCACCATATGATCGGTCGGTCTCATAGGCAAGACCAAATGAAGAGAATTAACGACCAGATAAATATCGCACGACAGTGTCAGCACTCCTAATAACTTCAATCATGAAAATCAGCAGTTGTCATGGATGAGGTTCCTCAGTAAAGACACAAAGATCGAAGGTAGGCTGTTTGTTGGTTACGGTGATTCACCCTCTACCCGATGAAACAATCCTATCCAAGGACGACGTGTCTTCACATTCAGTCTCCATAAAATGGACAATTGAAGATCTTTAAGTCGACTGAATGATATTTGGTTGACTGAATGAATTATAGCCGATCGAACGAATTCCAAGCAACCAAATTGGGCAGTTACAGATGTAAAACAAAGTTTAAGTCAGTTATACAAATATAGCGGCACAAACAGCGGTTACAGGGTCAGAATAAGTGTTATTCAGTTAAAAATGTGTAAATATAATGACTCATTAATTATAATAATGTTTCTTTTTTAAATGGGGACAACCTTATAATTTCCCAGATCCTACCTATGAACTATAAATAAGAGGATCATTTCCAAGTAAAGGGTATGTGAACGGAATTTTCATTAAAAAAATAAATAGTGTTCAAATCTTCTTTCTTTTTCTTTCCCCGACTACACTATTCCTTGTTTGATCCACAAGACAATTTAGGATCTAACATTCTAAAAGGTGCCATAAACATGGAATCATGTTTTCTACAAGATGAGGAGCATGTCAGGATGCAGGAACACATCAAGGAGAAACCTCCAACGTTGAGCCTGTTTGGGAATTTGTACAACAACAAATTCAGGGATTCCATGGCGGATGGTCATACAAATTACGGAGTTGGCCCGAGTGGTGCTTGAGGAAAGACACAACCTCTCCTGCAACTCGATCCACCGGCACCCGAGCCTTAAGTTCAACAGGCGACCTCGAAAGTCGAGCGAATGAATGAGTCCTAGTACTAGAACATTGACATATCCACACAAAGGGGTGAACTACAACTAAGAGCAATAAAAGTCTATCGACTGATTGAGAATGCATTCGCACAGCATATTATGGAAGCTAAGCCACCGGAGAAGTTTAAGGTTCTCACCATGAACGATATAAAGGTCGAAGCGACCCCGTTGACCATATTGCATTCTTTGAGCCAGTAATTTTCCTTGTTATCTCCAACATGTTAATATGTCAGCTATTTACCCGCTGGCAGATTCCATTCTCAGGTGTTTCAATGAACTTCCAGTAAGAATTATTAATTCTTTCAGAGGTTTCAGGAAGTTTTTTTCACAGTTTGCTAGAGCCAAGAAGCTACAAAAAAGATTCAGATTCTTTGTGTTATATAAATTAGAGACCAAACTAGAGCCTATGAGCATATGTTACAATGTTCCAGAAGGAGATGCTCGAGGTCCAAAACTTGGAGCCGGCAGTTGCAATGACAGCACGAACTAAAGAGTCCAGAGTTCTAATAGTTTTTAGGTTTAAGGAAACCCGAAATGTTGGTTGAACTCTTGAAGTTAGGCAACAATCATATTGCAGCTGAGTGTGTATCGACCAGCCGATTTTCAAAGATGAGAAATTGGATCGATAGTTAGGTAGGAACAACTCGAAGGATGATAGATGGAGAGAGAAAGATGACCCTTATTTGAAACATGAGAGAGGCAGCTCATCCCGAAGAGATAAAGAAGATGAATGACACGAAAACAAACGTAGCGGATCAAATGACCGATCTACAGGTGACCGGAAGACATCTAGGTTTACACTACTTTGAGTTTCTATGAGGAACCCGTAGACACATTAGAAAAACATGAGTATTTCTGAAAGGCGACTCTACTGAAAGACGGAGCTTCCCTCCGAAACCAGGGAGCTAATCCTAGACAGAAAGCTCAAGGAGTATGCAGCCTCAGAGGCTCACACTTGACGAAAGGGCTTGGCTCCAACAAAAGGCAAATCGGGCGGGCCAACCCGGACCAATGCCATTAACATAAAAGAAATAATACAAACAATATTGGGAGGTGATTCATATGCCAAGGTCGAGCAAAAAAGAAGTTGATCCGGGAATTACTATGCTGTGATGCTTGTTCGAAAGAGGAGGCCACATCCCCTAATCATTTTCACCGACGCGGATCTTGCTCTTACCGGAAATCTCTATAATGATGCCATTATTATTACAACACTAATCAGCAATTGCCAAGTAGGCAATATCCTTGTCGATACTGGGAGCTCGGGGAACATTTTCTTCTGAGCTGCATTCGAAAAGATGAATATGACAATCGATCGGTTAACTGCACCGACCGACCCGCCGTACAGTTTCTCTAGTGAACGAAAGGTGGCATTTGGTGTAATAATGCTCTCAGTTACTTAGGGAGAAGGAGACAATGGATTTATCAACATGGAGGATTTTCATGTAGTTAATGAACCACCAACCTACAATGCAATATTCGATCTCCCTCTCAACAATTTTTGAGTAGTGGTATCAACTTACCGCATAACTGTGAAACTTCTCTATGATGGGGTGATAGTCACTGTACGTGGAGATCTAGAGCAGTCCCAAACGTGTTACATTCGAGTCATAGGAAGCGTGGAACATGAAGAATAAGACATACAACACCAATCAGGAGGCTTAGAAACTGACGAAGTTATTATCAAAATCGCAACTGGTCTAGAAGATCATAATAAAATTTTTCTAATCAGCGAGGCTTTTGATGCAGGTCGCAAAGGTACGTTGATCCATTTTTTCCAAGAATACCATGATGTTTTTGTTTGGACGACTGCCAAAATACTTGACTTTCTCATCGACGTAGCTTATTATAGACTCAACGTCAGTTCAACCGCTCGATCATTGAAGCAGAAGCTCCAGTTGATAGCAACTACTTTAGCTGAATTAATTTTTAAAGAAGTCAAGAAACTTTTAGAAGCCGCATACATTCTAGAAATTCAGTACCCCTCCTTGGTATCCAACTTAGTCATGGTATGGAAGTTCAACGACAAATGGAGAATGTGCGTGTACTTCATAAATTTGAGCATCACTTGCCTGAAGAATGGCTACACACTACCTCAGATTGATGCTTTGGTAGACTTTGCAGTCAGATACTGTCATGAACTTCCTCGACACCATCTCTGGATTTCATCATATCAAAATGCACTAGGCCGATGCAGAAAAGACAACTTTCATTACTAGTGATGGATTGCAATTTTTTACAATTATGATCTTTTGGTTGAAAAATGCTGGCACAACTTATGAGTGCCTATAGATGTAATTTTTTTCTGAACAAAAATACAAGACATTGAAGTCTACGGGGTGATAGTCACTGTACGTGGAGATTTAGAGCAATTTCGAACGTGTTACATTCGAGCCATAGTAAGCGTGGAACACGAAGAATTGGACATACAACACCAACGACGAGGCCATTGAACTGACAAAGCTATTATCAAAATCCCAACTGGTT